TTCTTGTAAGAAATCAGAATATCTGAAGTTCTAGATCATCATAATTATTGTAAAAGTAAATATGGAAGAATAGAGTTATATATTTTTTTAGAATTTTAATTTAATAATATATGATCAAATACAATTATTTTGTGCATCTTTATTTTTGGTTGGGTGATTGATATCTACTAGTTTTTCTTAATATAGTCCCTAAATAAGCCATAAAATTGTTATTAAAATACTAATTAGCAATACAGTTTATTAGTATAAGGTATACATGTTGTTTAAAACCTTAATTATTTCAAAATGTAACATGAGGAACATATGCATAGACACAATTTCTAAAGAATTTATTTATTTTTAATCTAACCTTTTTATTGCTTTTATTATTTGAAATAGATGCCCCATTTTTATTTATTAAACAGTGGGTATTATATCTAATCTATTGGCATGAGCATTTTGAGAAATCTTAGTAAAGAAAATGTGTTCTCAAGCAGGGATTGAACCTGCATTTCCCTAGTAAGATAAACCACCATTTAATCTGTTGTGCTTTACTGCTCGGCTATAAAGAACATCTTAGTAAGCAAGACTTTATTCTCACTTTTTAAAGAAAGCACATGCTCTTCACTCAGATTATTTTTTATCAAAAGCTCATATCAGCTCAGTTTCATTTTCAAAATGTAAACAAAGCAATTTCTAAAGAATTAAAGGATTTATTTTTAATCGTGAATTTTTATTACTTCAAACATAATACTCATACTAGAAATAGACACCTCATTTCTATTTTAAAAAGTGTGTATTACATCTATAGTCTCTCTGGCCTGTGCATTCTAGAAATCTTATTAAAGAAAATATGCTCTTTATTAATTTTTCTCTAATAGAATGCACAAGCAGACAGTCATAATACATCTTGTTTAAAATAAAAATGAGGCATCTATTACAAATATGAGTATACACTATAATGAGTTAAACATCAAATACAGATCAAATATGGATTGAAATCCAACAGGATAATAAGATAAAGAACAAATAGGAAATGTTTATCATCTAGCATGTTTCACTTTTATTAAAGCTTCATCAGAGATTGAGAGAAAGCAAACAAAAAGGACAGAACTTTGGTATTTTCAATTTTCTTTGGATCATCATGTACATTTGCCTTATATATATATATATATATATATATATATATATATATATATATATATATATATATATATGATAAGAAAAAAACCCTGATAGGAAACATTTATCAATCTAACATGTTCCACTTTTATTAAAGCTTTGTCAGAGATTGAGAGAAAACAGTTCTGTCAGGAAAGTAACTTCTTGATGTTATTGTTCTGGGACAGTTATCCCAGCATGTGGCACATTTGGAAAGTGCCTGAAAAATCATGCTATGAGCTGACCCAAGCCTTGTGATAGAAACTGGGTAGACAAAACTGTTTGGAAGTTGTTGATGGTTGTGCTGTCACAAAGTCACAAGTTAAACGCCAGAAACTGTAATTAAGGTCTGGTCAGTATAATTGCATTATCAACCACAGGTGGGTTCTCTAGGTGTTGAACAAAGACAAATGTGCCTGAGTAGGCATTTGCAACAGGGATTGTCCAACTTAGCAGACAGTTGTACTCAGAAATAAAAGTAGTAAGCCATTATGTATGCATGAATTGAAGATACAGATTGTTATGATAAGAGCCAATTACCCTCCTTACTATCATGAATGGACTGATCCATTCATGATAAGTAGTCCTTGGTAATAGAAAAGCAAGAATATAATATTATTGCAGTAACTTGTCTAGCTGAGTACTGAATCAAAACTGACTTGGTTGAGTTAAGTATTGTGTCTTGCTAGACCCTATCACACAACATGGATTTAATCCAACAAAATACACTATAATATAGCGTATACACTCGCATATCATGCAACTTTTGAAGACCTAATTTTGAAGCTAATTTTAAGGGGGTTGCATAATACGTGAGATATAAAATTAGCATATGTATGCTGGCCTTTCTGCAATGTTAACCAAACTATATATCCTTTGACTGTAGAAAATTAGCTTCAAAATTAAGTCTTCAAATGTTGCATGATACATGAGTATATATGGTATATAATATTATACTTTTAAATGTATGAGTTTGTATTGACTATATGCTCAAATGGAAACTGAGTTTGCTTAGAGGTGATTTCAAGAGATGCAACTATTGCATTGAGATAAATATCTTATACCCTTCTCCTTTACTGATTTATGAGTCATAGAAAGCACTGATTAATCTTAGATGTTTTCTTTTATTACTCAGAAATCAGAACATTGTTTAGTCGTTTAAATCATCATGCAGATTTTCATGCATCTCCAAGTATGAATTAATGATGGGGTGGAGAATTGGGATTCAATAAATATCAAATGGCAAAGCTTCTTATCATGAATTCTTCCATGATAAGAAAAATGCCAATGGCTTCTTTATTGCTGCCAATTGAAAGTTGTCACTTCTACAAAACTAATAGAGAATACAAAATCACAAGTATTTATAAATAATTCTGTGTGGTCACTCACCTCATACCAATAGGTATTTACACAGGTAAAACATACACAAAAATAATACTTTAAAGCATGTTAAATTGTAAATTAAAGTCATAAATTTTATTTATTTTGTGTACTAGTTTGTGTGTATTTTAGTTACATATGTTTTAAGGTTGCATGTAATAAAATGAAAAAAGTCACTTCAAGCAATGTATTGAGGAGAGATGGACTACTTAAACATTCCAACAGTTGGTAGCAGAAGAGACTGAACTCAGCATCTTTGGTGCAAAGTTCATTTTCAAGCAGGAAAAGTTACTGTTGCATTCTGGGAGAACTTTTATTATTTTGGTTTTATTTAATTTATTTTAAACAAAGTTTTAATGTTATTTGTTTTATCTTATTTATAATATTTATTATTATTAATATTTTTTATTTTTATTTATTAATAATAATAATGTCCCTACAATCCTCTTAAGTACTTGGTAGAACTAATACAATGTTTAAATTACAGAACTTACATAGAAATACCTATAGTAGATTGAAAAACTCTTTCTGAAATGTT